TAACTCTAACCCTTGCAACCATGATACTGGTTTCTAACTTCTACAAGTTTAACCTAGATTTCAAGGTTTAATATTTTAACAAGGAAACAATGATGATAAAATCTTTAAATCTTTTTTCGCTGCAGAGTGTGACAGCTTTTGGACGCATGATGATTGAGAGAACAAAAGAACTTGTAGAAGAAAAATATACAGTGGACAATGGGTACAAGACAAGTGCCAAGGTAAATGCTGATGACCTAATGCTGTGTTTGTTACAAAGGACCCACAAAGATGTATACAAAGTTTCGTGAGTGAATAAAAACACAATATTACAAGCTACATGTGATTTATTGAATGTGTGATTTAGCTGGTTAGTGGATGGTTGAATTCTCCTTTTACCCCCTATTTGGTGCTTTTAGGTTATTTACGGAGACACAGATTCTGTGATGGTCAAGTTTGGAGTAGATTCTGTTGCAGAGAGCATGGAACTTGGTAAAGAAGCTGCAAGCTATGTATCTGGACACTTCATTAAGCCTATCAAATTAGAGTTTGAGAAGGTAAGACCTCAAGTTGATGAGTATTTAGAATATAGGGGCCTGATCCTTTCCCAAGAATATATTTCTCCTGTTAATTTTTCTGTGTGCCTTAAATGCAATTTTGTACATTGTTTCAGGTATATTTTCCTTATCTCCTGATCAGCAAGAAGCGCTATGCTGGCTTGTACTTCACAAAAGCTGATAAGCATGATAAAATGGACTGCAAGGGAATAGAAACAGTAAGTTGGCTAATGAACTCTTTAGCAGATCATTTCCTGGAAGGGAAATGTCTTAATTCTGAACATTACCCACAGTACCTGAAAGAATTGTTTACTCTGAGATCTGTTGACTATTCTAAGAGAGGAACCAATATTCTTACTTTTTTTAGACCTGTTTCTACTACTTATGGTATAAACTCTTTCAGTTATACAGCTGCTAAGTACTGGAATGCTCTACCGAATAACTTGAGAGCTATTTCGTATTTAAATAATAGTTCCATTTTAGCAATTCATCAACATAATTTTATTATATGATGAGCTGATAATAATGATAATAATATTCTTATACTATTTCTAGTTAATGTAAATAGTAATTCATTTTATTCTAGGATTGAAAAAAAATTTTTTTTCTTTTTTCTTCTTTTTTTTCCTCGGAGATACTAGCCTATCTTTGGCTACTCTTAATTCAAGATGAAATAAAGTTTTATTATGTAAGGGGTTGCTGGCAGGACTACCTTTTTTCAATACTGCTTTGTGATAATAATGGCCTTTAGAACAGTGTAGGTTGTTTGTTGATAGTTGGTTTTCTTTTCTTTTCACAGGTAAGAAGAGATAACTGCCCTCTTGTTGCAAACCTTATCAATTCCTGCTTACAAAAAATTCTCATTGAGAGGTACAGTACTCTAAAGGTCACTCATCATTAATTCACATGATCTTTATAATTTTATGTTTCATCATTTTTTTTAAGTCATAAGTATTTTGGTCCACAGGGATCCTATGGGAGCAGTGGAATACACAAAGCAAGTGATATCAGACCTTCTCTGCAACAGAATTGATATTTCACAGCTGGTGATAACAAAGGAGTTGACAAAGACAGGGGATGAGTATGCTGGGAAACAGGCACATTCTGAGCTGGCAGAAAGGTCTGATTTACAACAAACTTGTGAGCCATGATAGAGAAATTTTCCATTGAGTGTTGATAGGAATCCAGGATGGCATTGGTTTTTCTTTATTCCTTTGCCCTGTGGTTGGTCTGGAAAACTCACTCCACTCAACCAATCAGATGCAAAACTTACACCAATCATGACTTGGTAGGCCTGCCCTTCAAGTACTGTAGGAAGTTTGCTTGTTTTTTTTATTTTGGCTCATCAGGGTATTTTCCTCTCCTCTGCTTGGCAGTTGTAATTATTTTAGTTTTGGTTTTATGACACTATCAAAAAGTGCTCTAAGTATTTTCTAGTTGATTGGCTTTGCATAACTGTTGCAGTTAGGAGATAATTTGTGCACATGTAAGTGAAGAAAAGAAGTCTTCCATCTGATGGTATTTTTCTTTTGGCTTTCAACAGAATGCGGAAACGTGATGCTGGTTCTGCTCCCAAGCTAGGAGACAGAGTTCCATATGTCATCATTGCAGGTGCTAAAGGAGAGAAAGCTTATGAAAAAGCTGAGGTAAATAGAATTATTTTTCCAACATCTAGATTCTTTTAAAAATATATTACTAAGTTTTCATTGTTTACAGGATCCCATTTATGTGTTGGAAAACAACATTCCTATTGACACAAAGTATTACCTTGAGAATCAGTTGTCAAATCCTTTGCTGAGAATATTTGAGCCTATTCTGGGGGAGGCAAAAGCAACTTCTGTGCTTCTTAGTAAGTCAGCATTTTCTTTCTCTTACATCGTAAATAAACAGTGACTTTGAGAGGCATATACAGTTCATACAAATGTACATTCATATGCAGCCAAACATAATAACATCAACTTGTGTTATTACTTGATTCCATAGTGAGCCACCCGAGGAGCCTGTTAATTTTTGTTTCACAATGCTCTCAAACAAATATAAATGTTTTGTGCCAATGGTTTGGGAAAGAGCATTTCATGACAATCCCAAGTGAGACTTTGAGTAGTATTTATATCTTATTAACCAAGCGCGAGGGCCATGCTGGGAGAATATCGGCCCAAGGTCTTGACAGTTCGGACCTCGCTGCCCTCGGTCCGTACAAAAAAGACCGAGGGCCAATACTCTTCCAGTACGGTCCTGAGCAAGCTTGGTTAATAAGAGATTTATTATATGACTGAAGTTCAAAGGGACACAAGTGCAGTATCATTCGGGACCATTCGGGACAGTGCCCCGGTCCAATACTTAGAGAATATTGGACCGGCAATAGAGCATTTTGATTGGTTGATTTTAGCCCCTTGACTGCCCGAGTTGTGTAATAAGGTTTGTTTATGTGGTTCTCTGAATCAACCAAAACAAAAATTAATGACTTTGTAATTCTTTTGTTTAATATCTTTGCAGAAGGGCAACATACACTCACAAAAACTATTGTAACATCAAAAGTAGGCAAGCTGGCCATGTTCACCAAGAAGAGAGAAACTTGCCTTGGCTGTAAAGCAGTCCTTGACAATAATAGTGAGTATACCTTGTCAAAATTAAGCCGTTACCAGGGCTGTGGTCTAGCAGTTCCCAGTGGCCCCTGGCACCGTAGTTTTACTCTTGGGAGACTTGGGAATCTTAGTTTTTTCATAAAAAGCACACACTGGGCACCCTGGAGCACTGGGCTCCCTTCAATTTTTCTTAGAGCACAGCCTTGAGTTAGACTCAGAAAATTCTTATAAACCACCAAATAAATACAACTTTAAAAAGAATTTACATCTTAACTGTAATTTTAGTCAAAAATTGGAGATTTGGTGTGAATCAATTTTTTTGTTACTCTTTCGAGATGTGTTAGACATGTTGATCACATCCTTTCCCTTACTTATCAGATTCTGCTGTCTGTAAACACTGCAAGCCTAAAGAGTCTGGTCTCTATCAAAAGGAGATTTCCCATCTTAATGCACTGGAAGAAAAGTTTGCAAGGCTTTGGACTCAATGTCAAAATTGTCAAGGCAGTCTGCACGCTGATGTACTGTGTACCAGGTGTGAAAAAAGTTTATACTTTGATTTTAAATTATTTTTGCCAAGAGATAGGGTGAATGCGAGGTTAGCATCATAGACTCTGGGCTATTAAGTTGTGTTCTTCAACAGGATGCTTCACTCTTGTCTCCTCTTGCTACCCAGAAATGGTAACCATTTAACTCCCAAGAGTGATTAATATGTAACCAGTTTTGAAAGAAATGTGTAGCAGTTACAGGGGAGTATCAACAATCAGATCTTGGGAGTTGTAGGGTCAATGAGAAACTGCAAGGAGTTAACCTGCAGTGAACCAGTATCCCATCTTGAATAAATGTCATAGTATTCTGAGTCAGTTTATGCCATAGAAACTAAACAGTGACATGCTACTAGGAGTGTATGATTAAACTGAGTTGCTTATTTACTCACAGAGTACTTTCTAGTCAATGAAAATTCTCTTGGAACTATTTTAAAATCTTAATCCATCAAACTTTTTGACTGTGTTAAGCATTTACATGGTTGATACCTCCTTTGTTTCAGCCGTGATTGCCCCATCTTTTACATGAGAAAGAAAGTCCAGAAGGACCTCTGTGATCAGGACAAACTCATTCAGAGATTTGGCAATTGTACCTGGTGATCACTGTTCCATTAAAAGAAAATAAAGAATTCCATTACACTTAGATTAATAATATACATGAAAAAAGTACTTAGTTCAGATTAGTCAAGAAAAATGCAGTTTTCAGGTAATTCAGTGCAGAAGAGAGTTAATTCAGTGCAAAGAGAGTAACAAACCAGACAATCTGATCGATCAATAATCAAAGAAACTCACAGAATTACCAAACTCACTGAATACTTCCTTGAGCTGTTTGGCCGGATTTTGAACTTTTTTGTGCCTTACAGATGTGAAAATTTCATGTTATCTTATTGTTTTGATCGTACACGGTTGTTTTGACTGAACACACAATGTCACTTGCAGGGATTGAATAAATTATTTTTGCACATAATGCACATGCTTTTCTTCTGCATAATTATGATAAGCTACTTTGTATTTTTTCATGTATGTTAATACATAATCACTTGATTTTTCTCATGCAGTTTGGAATAAATAAGCAATAGTAAATTTTTTCAAAGACCACAAATTGCACTCACCCTATGAACTCATGCAATTTTGTTAGTCCATGAAAAAATTTACTCGTGCTTATTTATTCCAAATTGCACTTGAAATCATGTGATTACCTATACAAAAAGGAGTGTTCAGTGCAACCCTGAGTGCAGAGGTAAAAGTCAGACCCCAGGACCCCAAGAATCATTAACTTGGACATTTTCAGTGTCTTTATATCATTAGTGTAATAACTACAACAAGAAACTTGAAAGTGTAGTTAATTTTCTGTTTTGAGCTGTATTATTAAAAAACAAACAAACTACGTAATGTGCATCATGTTTCTATTAGTCAAAAACAACCAACTCAAAACTTTATGTCCAAGTTCTCTTTTGTCATAACAGTTGAAATGTTATGTCCTCTTGCATGAGCAACATTATTTTGGTGTTGTTTAGAATCTTTTATTTCCTTATCAGTTGTTTCTTTGAGCCTTAATAGTTGCTTCAAGTAATCCTTATATTAAATAACTATTACAGGCTTAGCCAATGTCAACAACAAACACAGAAAGAGTTTTTAAAATTCAAATGAGAGGTAGATAACCCTTTCAAAGATGTTAAATTGTGATTATTTTGCTTGAAGATCGGGTTGTCTTATACGTTCTTCCATCTTTTCATTCTTTGCATGGATCTTAAGCAAGTCCATAACTGGATTGTCATACTCCGTTGGTGTAGGTTTCTTGTCTGTCATCCAGTAGTATATCTCCCAGTCATTGCTTGGCTCATTTATCAGCTTGTCATATTGATCCAGCTGGTTATCATTCAGACCATCTAAATGCTTATCTGCAAATGTGCTACCAATTCAGAATCAAATTCAAAAGTAATTTCTAACAGAGTGCAAGACTTTTCAGTAGATTGAAAGGGAGGGAGATGGGATGACTCTAGCCATCTAACCCATATTCAAGGTTGTTCTGTGTTTACAGTTTATCGCCATTTTTCCCATGAAGATGTAACACTCCCCTACAGCCCCCTTAACAACACATAAGATCCACGCGGTTGCAAATGACACTGCAGTTCATCCTCAGTGTAAAAACCTGTGAAGCTCACAAGTGACGTAAAACAAAGGCAACAAAACAGAAACAATAGCGTACAGCAACAGTACCTTCTGAAACAAAGAAAATCTCATCAGGTTTTTACACCAAGGATGACTCAACACTGCGTTGTTCCAGAACATATTCAAGCCCTCCTCACTGTAGAAGCTTTAATTTGAGCCCGGAAAGATTTCCGAACAACCCCACACTATTCTAAGCTAATGCTGTAGTCCTAAAGGCGATCTATTGCTTTCGCCAGCTTTCTTTGTCCAAAAACGGCATGCATAATGAAATATTTATTTAATTTTATTTATTGCAATAACACACGGGTGCAGGTATGATACAGTTAATTAATTTTTAAAAAAATAATGCTTTAAGGAGAATCTGCAAGAGTCCCAGACCCCATGTAACAGCAGATCACCCAATACATTATAGAATGAATGAGATACTATGCTATAATAAAGAAAAATAAAATTATGATTTACCTATAAGAAAATTCTTCACTTTAAATTTAAAATTACCAGTACAATTTGCAGTGCGAATGTCAACAGGCACCATATTCCAAGAATCTACTATTCGATGGAAATAGGAATATTTAAGGGAATTAGTCCTTGCATAAAATGTCTTAAGGAATAATAATCTAAACTACTGTAAAAATCCACAAAAGGTGACGCATCAATGTCAACAAACCCTTTCAGTGCCTTAAAAAAGAAAGTAAGGTCAATAAAAACTCTTCTGTCTTCCAAAGATAATAGATTTAACTTCTCAAGACGAGCTGCATAGCTATCCTTAGTTTTCAACTTTTCAATATGGAGCTACCCGCGTATGCTGAGATTCATTTTCACTTTCATAGGTTTCATTGTAGGCTTTTGGTCACATGCTACTGTTAAACAAAACTAATACCACGTGAAACGACAGTTACACTGACACCGTATTACGTAATTCATCGTAATGGACAACTCCTTACCTTAACAAGAGTCCATTTTCCAGCATTCCACGCTTCCTGAAGCAAATGGAAAATCAATTAAACCAACTCTTATCTAGAATAATAAGAATCTTTCTGATCGATGGCACCATTCGAATTTCAGCAGTTTTGTATGTGTACCTGCTTTGGTAGAGTAATCTTGCTCGTTTGCGATCAACCGGTTCGTTTTGAGGCGATTTATACACTGGTATAGGTGGCTCTGTGTCCGAACTGTCGATGATTTGGTCGGATAAAAATCGCATTTCTGGTCTCATTAAGTGAGAGTGTCGTGATCGATGTAGGATATGGCGAAAGTTCCATCCAAACAAACTCAAGATAGGTTGCCTATAGGCCGCCATTGTTGATGTCAGCTGTTTGGTCTGCAGGCTCATGTCAGTATTCGTTTCTAGTTCTTTGCCGTCTAAATCATCTGAAAGGTGGTGCTGAAAGCCTCTGAAACCCAGGGTCCTTTAGGGGCCTCAGGCCTGTTTCTTGAAGGTCCCGGTTGTAGCGTTGCAGTTGTGTCTTCCGTTGGAGTTATGTCCTCACAACTAATAACCAATATAATGTGGTTTTATTTCTTCCAATCAAAAGGCATTGTGAACGTGTCTCTTGCTTGTCACTTCCCAACTAGGGCAGGGATGCGATGCAAAAATATTAATTGTAAGAAGATCGTTAAGATTTCCGCGCTCGAAGGTTAACAATTTCACGGGATATCCTTGTTTCATGAGCTTGTTTTCATGAGCTATTCTTGCCTTCTGAAAACTAACCCCCGACCCAAAATTTTCTTGCGCGAATTAAGGGTGCACTTCCAGCGATCAATAACAACTGCAATATATCTGTTTATCCCTATTTGCATGTTTTGAGTGCATTCGAAAATCAAAACAATTTCACAGCTCGTACTCTGCATGTGCAATACATCCAAACTTGACAGATCCATTATTACCCCTTTTTCCATGCATTTTTCACTGAATGTGGAAATTCTCGAAAAAAGGCAATAAATTCTAACAAATTTATCCAGCAATTAGAATATATCCTAACAAATTATTCCGAAGGCAGTGCTTAACAATTTTTTGTCTCAAATGCGGTGCTTATTCGAGTAAATGCGGTAATTTCATTTCAGATTGGTTCAAAATGACATTACTCTTTCCATGTTTTTATGCGGTGGGGATGGTGGCGGCTTACGTTCCTTCCTGACGTCATTTCGCCTGTCACTTGCTTTAGATGGTCATTTCACATGCCAACTACCAAGTAAGACGGAGCCTCAAATAAACTGTAGAAACCTTTCCTTAGTCTTTTGAAGTCAACATGTTTCATGTCATCGCGACCCCCAGTATACGTTCCTTCCAAGTTTGATATTTCGCCTTTGTCACTTGCTTGAAAAGGTCATTTCAAATGACCAAAGGGAACAAAGTGTAGATTTCTTCTTTTGATGTAGGCTTAAGCTGCATTAGAGTTCAGTATGGGATCTCTTCATTTTTCACAGCCAGTTTAATTGCCAATCGATTTTCTTTATCCCCCCCTTAACATTTTGTTTGTGACGACTGACCCCCTCTTCCGTTTTCCCAGAAAATTGTATTACCCCCTTCAAAATATTCCACTATGTCAGGTGTTTTATCGAAGAGCTCCGTTTTTTAAAATGTTTACTGAACACAAATGAATGCGCATTTCCACAAAGTACCGTTTTTGGCGGCATCTATCCCGATTGCAGTCGTATGAAAATGGTTTAAATTTCCAATGTATCCAGTGCAACTTGGAAGGAGCGAGAGATTTAAATTACTTTAAATAACTGAGATATTAAGAGCTCCCCAATCATTCAAAACCCATAGAAAATGGAAGTTTACTGGTACTTCAAAAAATCTATAGGCCGCACTTTCTGTCGGTTTATCAGCGTAGTTAAGGCTTTGAATGTTAGGAGGACATTTCAAAAGTTGTAGACTTTTAAACTTTTCTCGGAACAAAGCGGAAAACCACAAGAAATAATAGAAGAGATTAGATGAAAAGAAAAAGTAATCGAGAAGAAGATGGGAAAAAATAATTTAGGACTGCGTTGGTTTTGTCGATTGGTCCAGAAAACTCGCGCCACCCTCTCTGCCAATGAGATGCAAAGCTACAAATAAACACGACTTTGTCACGTGCGTTCCTCTGCAATTTTGGCAGTTCGCATGTCTTTGCTTTGAGTGGCTGATAATGATGGTGCCCTTTGTTAGACTTGTTATCACTTGGCCGCTGTGATATG